GCAGTGCTGTCAGTGAGGCAGCACCAGGGCAGGCAGGGCTCCAGCAGGCTCCTGTTAGAAGAGCCTGGGCTTGGGGGATGGGAGACTACTCTAAACCTCCATTTGGCCATCTGAAAAGGGGGCTGATTCTTTTCTCTGTGATTATTGTGGATTAATAGTACTAGGTGGTACTATTAATAAAAAAAATCAAATTCTACTCACATCTCTGGAGTAATGTATCAAAGCACATAAATCGCAGTAGCTGACAATTAAGGCTCGTTCCTGTTGCTAATTAGCTGCTGGCTGGCTGTGGCTCTGCTTTCTCTTCTCGCAGATCAGAGCAGAGGGGAGAGATGGTGTCACAGGACTGTTCTTTCGGGTTCGCGCAGACATGGTGCACTTCCGCTCACATTTCACCGGACAAGTACAGTGTCCGTGACACTGGCTGTAACTCTCCCACGACATGGGCCAGTAAAGAAGGGCGGCGTATATTGTGAACAGATAATAGACAACCCGGGGTATGTTTAGAGGAGGATCAGGATAGTGAGTAATTCAGAGGCGAGAGTTGACAAGAAGCAGAGGGAACATTAACGCTGTCTTTGGATGTTGAAGAACAGTTGTCACTGGGTAGAGAAAGTAGTCCAAAGCTATATGGCATCAGTGGCAGAAGCTATGGTGTTATGTATTTTGATTCAATGTAGGGGTGTAAGGAGGAAGGAGAATAGAAAAGGAAATTGTTGGTTATTTTAAATATCATTTCATTTATATTCAAAATAACCCTGCACTGGTGTGTGTTTAAATATCAGAAGAAATAGACAGACTCAGTGGGTAAGGATTTACTGTCACATGGCAGTTAAGTTGGTAAAACCAGTTTGGAATACAGATCTGTATAATCTCACCTCTTTGCACTAAATTTTACTACTTCTATTGTGTTGCAAGTTTTCTTACAGTTAAACTGTCCATCACCAGCCATCTTCTGCCTGTGTTTTCTCATCTTTTTCTTTTTTTTTTTTTTTTGGAAAGGTTTCATTTTTTGAGTACTAGGTGCGTGCGCTCACCAGAAAGACAGAGAGAGACAGAGAGATAGAAAGTGAGAAATCACCCCCCAAAGGGGATGGCCACGCTGCAATCCCTTCTCCTCCATTCTCCTTTCGGGATCTTGGGCACGCACGCACACGTGCCCGGCATGAGTTTAAGCCACTGGATCTGGGACTCGAACCACGATCGACTACGTGGGTGGGAGTCCAGCAGCATAGCCTTTACACTAACTGCTGGTCCCTGTTTTCTCATCTTTAAAAGGGGTTTAAACACAATGAGTGAGAAGGATGGACCCTACATGAGTGGTCTGTAAACTCATTTGATCACGTGTACCTCTCAACAAAGTATCTGAGCATATCCTGTTTATGTATCTCTTATAAAAAACTATTGTACTGACCCAGCCCACAGCGTGGAGGTTAAGGCAGCGAGGTCCCACATAGCCAGCAATGTGGTTTGAGTCTTTAACCTGGCAGCTTGAGACACACTAGGCACATGTGCATGCATGCCCAGAATCCTGAAAGGAGGGAAAGATGGAGGAGAAGGGATTGCAGTGTGACCATGCCCCAAGAGGGGGTGATTTCTCCTCTCACTCTCTGTCTTTCTGTCTCTCTCTGGCAAACTTTGTAAAACTGTACTAACATTATACATGTTATAAAACAGATGAGAAAAACAAGTTCAGAGTTTACATAAAATTTTAGATATTTTTATAAATTAGATTTCAGATTTTATGTAAATTCTCAGTTTAATAAAACTTGTATTTTATGCATAGATATTTTAACCTGTATACCTATGGATTTTCTCTGTGTACACCAAGGTGCATACTCCCAACATTGAAAGTTCATGTTTTGGATGATTTTGTAAGACTCCTTTCAGTATGAAAATTCTGTGATTTTATTTGCCTGCATTTTTCTGAAAGGGCTAATGCTAGCTTACTTTATTTTCAGAAAGATTTTTTTAAAGAATCATTTTATTTAACTTTATTTATTTATTTTAATTTGACCAGAGAGGGACAGAGTGAGAGGAGAGAGGGAAAGTGAGAAAGCAAGCCTCCAGGTCTGGGACTCGAACCACAGTCGGTTATGTGGGAATCAAGTGCCCTTAACTGCCACACTACCTTCTGGTCCTCAGAAAGAATTTTGAATATAGGATACCTAAAACCAAAACGATACATTCTTCACTGACATTTGTAGGAGCAATCAAGCCCCCAAACCACAAGATGTGAAAGGTGGAAACCCGAGAGCATTGCAGTCTATATATTATATAAAAAGAGATGTAAGTAGGGGTTATTAAGTAGTAAACCTGGGTTCTAGGTGTAGCAGAAGAAACAGCCTCAGTATTTTAGGCAAATCTTCTCTTTCTGAATCTGCGTGTGTTCAAAACTTGGTAGAATCATATATTCTAAAATTAGTCTGAAATTTTGCCTAGAGAATTTTTATACTTGAGAAAGTATTTTAGCACTGTTTTAGAATGTAGCCAAAGACTTAAATTAGGCTAAACCTACGGGACTAAAATTTTTATAGAGATATAGTCTGTAAGGTGCAGAGTGAGTTAGTCATTTGCCTTGTCTGATAGAGAAAATGTTTACTTTTTCTACATTTTGGTGTCTTTGGCCATTGCCAGGCTGACACTTCATGATTAAGACAACTTTTTCCGGTTAGCAGCTGTTCTTTGGTGGTAGAGTCTTTAAGAAAAAGCCATTCCAGACCACATAAGGCAGAGATTCAAAATCTAGCTATTGAAAGGCTGAGATGAAATTCTAGATCACCAGTGCACCTTTTCATCTTTTTTCTCTAGTGATACATTTGTACCAGTTTTTAGAAACCATATCCTGCAGCTTAGGTGGTAATTATAAAGGCAATGTTGCTTGCAGGGTGACTCGAACCCAGTTCAACTAAGGGTCTGAGACAGTCTATGTCAGCTGCTTTTCCAGCACAGGTATAAGTGGCCAACAGGCAAGGGTTTTTTTTAAATAATAGCTTGTTTTTTGCGGGGGAGAGGAGGAATTTTTGCTATAGGTAGGTGTGCTCGCTGGAGAGACAGAAAACGAGAAATCACCTCCCAGGGCGGGGTGGCCAAGCTGAAATCCCTTCTTCTCCATTCTCCTCTTGGGATTTTGGACATGCACCCATGCATGGACGTGCTCTGGTGTGAGTTTCAAGCTTCTGGATCCAACTTAAACCATAGTTGGCTACATGGGAGTCCAGCAGCTTAACCACGATGCCACCTGCTGACCATAATAACTTTTTTTTTAAACAAATTATTATTCATTGTTATTATTTGCTATAGGGCATGTGTGTGAGAGAGAGAGAAAGAAAGAAAGCTGCCAGATCTGGGACTCATTCTGCAGCCAGCCACGTTGGAGTCGGGGCTTTAACCACCAAGCCACCTGCTGGCCCGCTGGCCCAGTAATAGCTCATAAGGGATTCTTTTATTCTAGAAAATCACCATGGAAAAGTACATTTTAAATAATTTAATCTGGTGTTTCTTAAATTTTTGCATTCCTTTATTCATTTAGTTATTCAGCGCTGCTTTGTGCCAAAGCACTGAGGAAACATTAGTGAACAAGAGAGAAATTGACCACTGTTTTAAAAATATATATAGCATGTGTTAAAAGCCAATAGAATGAATTTTTGTTGTTCACGACAGCACAGGTTAGGGACCCTGCTCTAGACTGGCCTGCGTTTACACCTGCTTATTTGTGCCTTACTCCTCTCCTCCCCCCAGTTCTTCTTTCTCTTCTTGTAATTCTTCCTTTCTTTGAAGTAGTGACAGTAAATTTTGAAGCCAAGCCAGTTAAGAATAGAAGCTATATATGATATTTATTGTAGAAAACTACATTGTTAAAAGGGGGTGATAACATTCTTAATTGCTGTAAAGACCAAATGTCATCTCACTGTGCAGATCTCAAGGCAGGGGTGTTTGTTACTGCACTTCATCATTGCTCAAAGGCTGAGAAGCAGTTGGCCTTTGTTACTAGCTCAGGAACCCTGTGTCTTTAAATGAGTTTATATTATTTTACTTACTAAGTTTTTTGGAGATATTTTTGTTATAGGAAACTTGCACTCATTGAAGAGGCAGAGACTGAAAGCTAGAAATCACCCCTTGGCAGGTGCCACCACCCCACAATCCTTTCTCCATTGTCCTCTCAGGATTTAGGGCACACACACACTTGTGCCTGGTGTGAGTTTCAAGCTACTGGGCCTGGGACTCTAACCGTGGTTCGCTACATGGGAGCCCAGCACTTTATCCATTATGCCACCTGCTGGCCCCAGAGCTTATATTATTTTAAGAAAATTAGCATCAGCATACTTTTTTTTCAAGTGTGCTTTTTTAGATGCAAGCATTTATATGATTAGGTTTTTATTAATCTTTCTTTGGCCATTCTAAGAATTCTAATCTGCTATTTTGGGGATTAATCTTTTTTTTCTTTTAAGTTGCTATAGGATGCTTGTATTCACCAAAAAGAGTGAGAGTAAGTGAGAGAGACAAAGTGAGAAAGAAAGCATCCCTATGGGGTATGGCCACACCACAGAAGTTTTTCCTAAATTCTCCTCTAGTATTCTTGGGCTTGCACACACGTGAGCCTGATGTTTTTTTTAAGCTGTTGGGTCCAGGACTTGAACTGCACAGTTGGCCGTGTGGAGTCCAGCCGCCTTAACCATCACATCACCAGCTTGCTCAGAAATCAGTCATTTTTGTGCCTATTTCTGTTTGTTATATTACAACTAAAACATTTTTTATTTATCAGTGCTTTCATTGCCTTATTATGCAAGCTCTAGAGTGAACCCCAATTAAAGAATGTGTGTTTTTTGCTATAATTTTCTCAATTGATGAATTTATATGTAATTAAAAGTATAATTCTTGTTTCTTTAGCATCAGACAACAGTCAACGCTTTCGAGAAACCTGTTTTGCATTTGCATTGACACCACAACAAGTGCAGCAAATCAGTAGTTCCATGTAAGTTGTCTTCGTATGTGACTTGTAGTTCAACCTTTGAATCAAGTATTGTATATAAAAAGGGATTGTAAAAAGCAGTATATTAGGTGGGTTAATATTAGTGTCATACAGCTATTGGTATTGAAAATATTATGCTGTGTTAGTTACTCTAAGAATAATTATAGACTCTGATCATTTAAAATTTTTTCTGTAGTTAACAGTGACTTTGAATCAACTTCTTATGTGCATATTTTTAAGATTATTCTAATTTTTGTCCTGTCTGTTCTAGGGATATTTCGGGGACCAAATGTGACTTCACCGTGCAGGTCCAGTTAAGGTACAGTGTTGGCTCCAGTATATTCAACGTTTATTCAAAGCTCAATAGTATTTCTTGAAGGTTAATTTTTTAAAATCTACTCGAATTTTTGATCAGTGTATTGAATATACTGGATTTAGCTATTTGGGTAAGGAAAACCCTTGTATTGTGGGATACCCAGATTTTTATCCATTTCAGATTTTTTTTTTTTTTTTGGCGATAGGGTGTGTGTGCTGGCCAGACAGACAGAGACAGAGAGATAGAAAGCGAGAAATCACCCCCCAGGGGGGATGGCCACGTCGCAATCCTTTCTCCTCCATTCTCCTCTCGGGATCTTGGGCGTGCACGCACATGCAGCCAGTGTGAGTTTTAAACCACCAGGTCTGGAATGTGAACCGCGGTCAACTACATGGGAGTCCAGCGACATAGCCATTATGCTAACTGCTGGTCCCCTCCATTTCAGATTTTAACATAGCAGGTCACGTACCATATATCTAACCACAGTTTTCTGCTTCGCCTGCCCTCAGTTGGAGGAAAAGCTCCCGCTGATAGCTGAAATATCGTAGTGATTAGTGATGCAAAAATATAAGTTCCATGAAAGCAAGAGCTTTAAAAGAGTAAGAGGCAAACTTCTGTAGATAAGGAGCTAGTACTTAAGTCTAGGATATCTCATGGACTAACAAACACCTAAGTATTCTAATTTGTTCTGTGCCATATTTTAAATCATTAATTTTAAATTTAGACTCCATTCGAGATCTCTCTTAAAGGTTTTCAAAGATTAATAGAAAATTTTCCACCATGGATTCATAGCTGCCCCGATTCAATTTCTTTTCTTAGCCCACTCATTTCTTCTTAGAATATCTAAGAAATCTTTTATGCTAATACATCTCTCTCTGGCTTGTATAAACCAACCGTAGGCGGCTCCTTTTATTCAGCGACTGTTCATGTATGGACCTACGTGCACCACGCTGTTCTTGGCGCGCAGTGGGGATGGAAGAGGAGGTGTGACAGTGGCTTTCCTCAGTGAGCAGTCTCTCCTGGATTGTGAAGGGAAATCAGACAGAGTCTCCGTAGTCAGATGTTCACTGTGTGTACAGGTCACATGTGCACTGAAAGGTCAGGAAGGAGCCAGCCCTTTGCGGAACATTGAGGAAACCTCTGCTCTAGCTTGAATGTAGGGGAAGATAAGCAGTAAGAAAGCAGAGGAGAGGGAGAGCTGAAGATTCTAAAAAGGATATGACTATGTTTTATTAGCTTTCTTTTTTTTTAAGTGTTTGCCATAGTGTATGTGCGTTTGCTGGAGGGAGACAGTGGGAGGGAAAATGAGAAATCACTTCCTGGGGGGATGGCCACACCACAATCCCTTCTCCACTCTCCTCTTGGAATTTTGGGCATGCACGCACAAACCTGGCATGAGTTTCTCCAGCCACCAGTTCTGGGACTTGAACCTGTCGGCCATGTGGGAGTCCAGCATCTTAGCCACTGCACCACCTGCTGACCCCTATTTATTAGCTTTTATTACATAAAATAATATTGTGGACCTTCATTCCAGGGGACAAGTGATAATGTAAGTTTTGGTTTGGGAAGACACTGGCAAAGATGGTTCAGTATCAGAGGTCTGTCAGGGCAGAGCAGCAGATACAATTTACATTCCAAAGGAAGGTTTTCTTCCTACCATACATCAGCTGCCTAATTAATTTATTCCAATGGAATCTTGGTGGTTAAAAATTATTTATCCTAAAAAAAAAACAACAAGATTTATCCTTTTTTTTCTCTTTTTTTTTTTGAGAGGTTTTTGCTATAGGGTGTGTGCGCTTACCAGAAAGTCAAAGAGAGACAGAGAGACAGTTAGCAAAAAATCATCCCCCCCGGGGGATGGCCTGTAATCTCTTCTCCTCCATTCTCCTCTTGGGATCTTGGGCACGCACACACACACGCCCGGCATGATTTTTAAGCCACCGGGTCCAGGACTCAAACTGCAGTCAACTGCATGGGAGTCCAGCAACATAGTCATCACACTAACTGCTGGACCCAGATTTATCCTTTTTTGGGGGGAAGGTTTTTGCTATACGGCGTGTGCACTCACCAGAAAGACAGAGACAGAGAGACAGAAAGCGAGATCATCCCCCTGGGGGGATGGCCACTCCACAATCCCTTCTCCTCATTTCTCCTCTTGGGATCCTGGGCATGAGTTTAAGCCACCAGGTCCAAGACTCAAATGGCGGTTGACTACATGGGAGTCCAGCGACTTAGCCATTACACCATCTGCTGGTCCTGATTTAGTCATTCTTAATTCAAATTTTCCTCCAGAATTTGATGTTGTAAAGAACTGTTTTGTGTTATAGTTGGTCATTGTTAGGAGGTTCTTTGTGTTTTAATAAAATAGTTTCCTCTCTCCTCTTGCCTTCTTACCACGCCCCCATCAATAGGCCAGCAACCCGTGTGTTGTTTAAGTTGGGAGCATATATGCCTATCTGCTCTCCTAATTCCAAATATTTATCTAAGCATGGGAGTAACTTGGTCAGAATTCGTGTCAGTGTTTTCTCTAGTAGGTACCTGTCTGTTTTCATTAACGTCCCCATTGCCCTTCCCACCCTTTCCGGGTCCTCCCATGAACTACTTCACAGAAACTGTCTGCTATTTTACTCTTTTCCCTCCAGTTCTTTAGGAGTTGACTTGTCATATAAATGACCCTTCCCCTGTAGTTTCAGGCAGCCAGGGTCCATGCGCTGGAATAGTTGATTAACAATCGTGGCTTCCTCATACTGGTGCTAGTATATATATACTAGCTTGGACTACAGGGTCCTCCTGGAGTTAGAGGCGGTCCTGCAAGATTTGACATCTGTTTGCTCAGTGTATTCCCAGAAAGTTTTTGTAGATCAGTAATTTTTAACTTTTGGGGGGCTTCCTAATCCCTTTAAAATCCAGTGGAAGCTATGGAGTGTCTTCCCACAGAAATGAGTATGAGTGTACTCAGGAGACTTAGGAAAACGGTCCCGTTGAGTGACCACCCCATACCAGGCTGCATGGGCGGCAGGCGAAGCCCCACACCGCAGGTGTTGAGGAGGTGACTGCACCTGATGACTGTCGGAGGACTCAGACCAGAGGGTTCCATGTCACTAAGAGGTGCCTGAGCCTCAGGGGTGTATTGGGAATGGAAATAAAGTATAGATGTCTTCAGTAGCAAATTAGCAACTTCCTTCCTTGATCTCTGTGAATAAATAGTGAGAATTTACAAATTATAGTTGACCCTTGAATGATATGGGAGTTAGGGGTGCTGACCCTTGCACCCAGTATAACTTTGGACACCACAGAAGCCTAAACCGATAACCTACTGTTGACCAGAAACCTTACCAATAATAGTCAACTTAACATATATTTTGTGTTATATGTATTATATATTGTATCCATACAATAAAGTACGAAAATGTTACCAGAAGATTGGGGGAGGAGGTCAGGCAGTAGGTGACGTGGAGGTTAAGGCCCTGAATCTCACATAGCTAGCTTAGTAGTTTGAGTCCTGGATCCAGCAGCTTTCGAACCTTGCTGGGTGCATGTGTGTACATGCTAGAAATCCTGAGAGGAGAGTGGAGTTGAGAGGAGACTACGGCATAGCCATACCTCCTGGGGGGGGTATGTTCTCACTTTCCTTCTCTCTCTTTCTGGTGAGTGCATGCGCCCTAAAGCAAAAACTTAAAAAAAAATAGAAAAGAAAAATTGTGGGCCAGCTAGTGGCTCATAGTGGCTAAGTTGACTGGATTCCATACGGCCAGCTTTACAGTTTGAGCTCCAGACCTAGAGGCTTGAAAAACTTGTCACGCGCACGTGCGTGTGTGTATGTGTACACTCACGTGTGCGTGTGTGCATCCCCAAAATCCGGGCAGGAGAAATGGAGGGGAATTACTGTGTGACTATCCTCCTGGAGGAAGGGGTGCTTTCTCACTTTCCCTCTCATGTCTCTCTCCAGTGAGCACATGTGCCTTCTGGCAAAATGTAAAAAAAAAAAAAAGAGCATTGTAAGGAAGAAAAAAAATACATTTATAGGTCTGTACTATATTTTCCAATGTATTTATTTTTAAAATTCACATATATGTGAACCCACACAGTTCAAACCCATGTTGTTCAAGGGTCAACTGTATGCGGTTATCCTTGGTTGTTTTTCCCAAAAGATTATGCATTTAATTGAGAAATAATTTCTTAAAGAACTATTTATTTAATTTATCTTTTTGTTGTTGTTTTAAGAGGTTTTTGTCTTAGGGCATATGCCCTAAGGATATATGCTTGCTGCAGGGGG